AAATATTAAGAGCCTGCTAGCATCTTTTCAGATTCACTACTACTCCTTTTATTTAAAGGGCGTCAGGTTTTGCAGAAGCCACGCAGCTCACTTCATCAGAAGCCTGGAGTGACTAAAAGGATTTAGGATTTAAATTGGGATAAGGCTGGTCAGTGCGAGGGCCGCAGGAAGGGTGATTATAGGCTCATGCAGGCCACAAGGACCTTGTTAATTAACCGTTTAAAGAGTTTTTAAAAAAACTCCATTATGTTTGTTGAGGCTTCCCAAGATAGAGCAACATCTTCCCACATCTATAAAATCAGTACTCTCTCACCCAACTGCGCTGGTAAAATAATCTTTGTTCCCAACCATCTCCTTTAAAATCCATAATTTTGTGTCTGGGGAAGTTAGAGTGTTTTGATAGTGTTACATTGGCCTTACATTGTCTGGAAGTTTTTAAGAAGAGATTGGGCAACCATTTGTCTGAAATGGTAGAGGGTTTCCTGCCTGGGCAAGGGGTTGGACTAGAAGACCTCCAAGGTCCCTTCCGATTCTGTTATGCTGTTTTCCTTCCTTCCTTCCTTCCTTCCTTCCTTCCTTCCTTCCTTCCTTCCTTCCTTCCTTCTTTCCTTCCTTCTCCATCACTGGAGCTTTTTAAGAAGAGATTGGGCAACCATTTGTCTGAAATGGTAGAGGGTTTCCTGCCTGGGCAAGGGGTTGGACTAGAAGACCTCCCAGGTCCCTTCCAACTTATTCTGTTGAGTCCTGATGTTGAAGTTGTGCCCACGAATTCTCCTGTGTGTAGAGCTCCCTAACGCAACCATTGATTCTTCCAGCAGCCTGCTGTTAACATCTATCGGGCAAGAAGTGGATTTTTTTTCTGCTGTATTTCGCTAAACCTGATCTATTAGAACAGCTCTCTTTAAATATTTACTAACTATCAGCCAGAGCTGTTTTACTTCGACAGCAGTTCCTTCACCTGCCCGAGGAACTTATTAACAGCTTTTTGTTGCTGGTATTAGGGGAAGCAATCAATTGGCAAATTAGAATTATTTCAATTATGAGTGAGGTCCTCAGCCAGCGGGTGCTTCCTCCCGAAAACAGGCTAAGTACAGTAGTTCTGTATCCTTTGTTTAATTAATAATGTATTTGGATTATTGAAGAGCAATCAGTAGGCACCTGAAACCATTATTATGGTAATAAGGAGGCTTCTGGGGCTAAGTGAGGAAGTGTGACTTACGGTGAGATTCATTTTAACTCCGTGAAAAGACAAGTAGACCTTTACAGCAGCCCCTTTCTTCAAAACACATCAATAGGAACAAGGTTTGATTTTTAATTCGGTGGCGTTTCATTAATTGCAGCTTGATTTTTTTTATCTGGTCTGGAGCCTAGGGGAGATAACAGGATGGGTCACCACCAGGAGACCATGGCTGTGAGCCAAACTGGGGAAATCAGGCAATCACCGGTGAGAAGGCAACGACAACTTCCACACAATTGCTACGAAAGCTGTACGGGCTTGTCCATGTAAGCCACCGAGAATAAGTCTGACTCAAGGCCATCTGTTCCTCTTCACAAGCTTCTCGAGCAGAAGGTACAGAGGACACCAGAATCCTACATGGTGACCAATAGTCCTCTTCACTGTGTAGACTGATGCCAACCAGCACCTCTAGAAACAAGTATTGAGTAGGGAGGATCTAGAAATATGGGGGACAGACATGTGCCTGGGTGCTTGGCCAGGATGTTAGGGAAACTCTACAGAAAGACAAAGAGTTCTAAGAAAGTCATATGCTGAAGCTTCCAGAGGTGGAGGTCTATCTACCCTTAGCTATGATTCTGAAGGCAACCCACAATCTTTGTCATCTGAGATATAAAATCACAGAGTTGGAAGGGACCTTGGAAGTCTTCTAGTCCAACCTCCTGCTCAGACAGGAAACCTGATACCATTTTAGTCAGATGGTTGTCTGATCTTCTTCTTAAAAACTTCCAGTGTTGGAGCATTTACAACTTCTGGAGACAAGTCCTTCCACGGATTAATTGTTCTAACAATAAGGAAAATTCTCCTTAGTTCTAGGTTTCTTCTCTCCTTGATTAGTTTCTATTCATTGCTTCTTGTCTTTCCTTCTGACCCTCTCTTGTTTGTGTAAAAGGTAAAGGTAAAGGTTCCCCTCGCACATATGTGCTAGTCGTTCCTGACTCTAGGGGGTGGTGCTCATCTCTGTTTCAAAGCCGAAGAGCCAGCGCTGTCCAAAGACGTCTCCATGGTCATGTGGCCGGCATGACTCAACGCCAAAGGCTCACAGAACACTCTTCCCTTCCCACCAAAGGTGGTCCCTATTTTTCTACTTGCATTTTTTACCTGCTTTCCAACTGCTAGGTTGGCAGAAGTTGGGACAAGTAATGGGAGCTCACCCTGTTATGTGGCACTAGGGATTCGAACCGCTGAACTGCCGACCTTTCGATCGACAAGCTCAGCATCTTAGCCACTGAGCCACTGTGTCCCCCTCTTGTTTGTGACAGTCCCTTAAATATTGGAAGACTGCTATCATGTCACTCCTAGTCCTACCTGATTCCAGCAACCGTTCTTTATAAGTTTTAGCCTTTAGCATCGCATCAAAGCTAAGGAAAGCTTCTGGTTTTTCCTGGTCCTTACATAAGCCACGTTATATGACTTTCAGCTTCGTGCAATCATTTCTGCATTGGTACCCTAGAGTCGCATTGTTTCATCATCGTATTAAATCCTCTTTATGGGGGTGCTTGTTTGCCTGCTTGCCTTAAGTCACCTGGCATCTGAGTTCCCATTTTCTTTGGCTTTTTAAAAAGTTGACATTTCTTTTCTTTTTTGAAACTCGCATCAGCTGTCCTTTTTCACAGGCCAAAAGGTTTCGTCTCCTTCCTTTGCTTGGGAAGAAAACACGTCCTGTCAAATCAAGTCAGCCGGTGCCCAGAAAACTGAAGCCACACAACTGAAGGCTGGGCTTACACAATATGCTAAAACCTAAGCCCAGGTAAATAAAATACACTTCTGCCCAAATATAGCCAAATCAACACGGTTATGGCTTAACATAATAGCCTTATTTGCTCAACATGCCGAAATGATACCTGTGTTTCACAACATGCACAAGATGCTGTGCCACAATTAACCTTGTTTTACTTTGACTAACTTGGGTGAAGGCAGCCGAGAATTCATGAAGTCAAAATATCCAGCCCCCACCAAAAAGCGCCCATCAGAGTCTTCAAATTATATCTCATCTTTCCCAGTTGCCATTCTTTCAGATAGCATGGTTGGCTAAGGTGAAGCTTTGTTTTTTTAGAGAACTGATCAACTTTAGCAGGTCGATAAGAGTCCAATTTTCCATTTTCTCCTGTGCTCCAATGTTTTTGTTCTGTATAATTTTAGCTACTTGCTAAGTGAAACAACAGCTGATTGGGTTGGTATTTAAGACAGGACTCCTTTAAAGCATCATGAAAAATAATACGAAAAAAACCCAGGTATGGAAACAAATCTTGTCTCTTGCTGTATGTAGTGCAGGAAACCACGGCCTTCCAGGGAAATCATTGTTTTAGGCTTTCTAACATTTTTCAAATATTTCCCTTTTTGCGAACAAAAGGGCAAAACAAAAACCACCAATTTAGGTTGCCAGTAGCAACCCACAAAGATTCGTCTGAAGCCCATAAACGTCCTTAAATGGGAGATGGCTATGCTGTAAAAAGTCTTTGGTGATTATATTTACATGGGGAAAAAATTAGATACCTACAGAGGTTCCCACAGAGATGGCTATGTGTCTGCAAAGAAGAGAGTTACTTCTGATTAGCAACTCCCCTCAGAACTTCTGTGACTTCTGAACTAGACTCATCAATTCTACCAGCACATTTTCTCCACTCCATCTTATAACAGAATATTTTAAAAGGGTCGCTGGGCTAAGGCATCCTACACTCTGCCTCAGGCAATCTTCCCAGCCCCATAGATGAATACCCTACTGGAAGAATGGGACAGGACTTACAGATGGCATTGCAATCAGGTGGCCCTTTCTCAACAAACACAGCTTTAGAAAGTCTCATGGCCACTCAGCTCAGAGGTGACATTGTCTGTGCTGGTGGGCTTTTCCAGAATAAGTCAAAAGCTGGTGGCACGAAGCAGAATTACTTAAAAAATAAATACAATGAATAACAAAAAACCCACACCACCTCAAAAGGACTGCAATATTTTGACTGGTTTGCGAAGGGAGTTCTGCACTCCACTTGGGCCAGTCTTATTTTACCCTCTAGATGAAAACTGCAATCAACTTTCTTCTGATTTCTGGAGAGAAAGAAGCAGCCGGTAGAGCAGATATAAATACTAGAGAGATGGGTTGGTGATAAAGTTATCCCTCTGCAGAATGGGAACAAAGATCAATGACCTCTGGAGAATATTGAGCAAAGCAAACTGAACAGCTAAAACCTTGGAGAAATCTAGCAGCATTGTTAGGTATAAAAATTTAATGAGAATAGACACAAGTGCTTAAATAGGATTGCATTCAGCCTGTCTAAAGATGTTTGGGCTGGCCCAATGGTTATATTACCTCATTCCCGTGAAACAAAAAGATTAGTGGCAACAAATCCTAACAGGGAGAAAGAGCTGGGATCCTCTCCTATATCGGTACTACAGAAACCCTAAGGCAAGTGAAAGCATCAGCATTCTATAAATATCAGAGCCAAGGTGCCAATCTATTCTCATATCTATTCACACAGTTAAAGAAATGACTTGACAAGGCAGGAGGTTTGCCATTCTAAAATTTGAAATTTGATAGATTGGCATTTCTCCACCTATTTTGGGAAATGGTTCCATCTGACATTTATTGAGTGGCTGTCTGCAGATAAATTATTGTACAATATATATATTGGGGGGGGGAGGGGGAATCTATGCATTCCGGATATTCTGTTGCTCTCCAGCCAGCCAGCCCAAACTCTAGACATTTTCTGTTCTGCAATGCAAACTCCTCCACAAAACTTGATAATTAAACCCTGCCCTTCTTTGCCCTTACCTTCAAGCCATAAGAGTCCGGAGAATGAAGCTTCCTGCAGACTTCCTCTAACTATCACTTTCCGCCTTTCGGGTTCTTCTCTTCTGAGCTTATTAAGTGACTTCCCGTTGTCTCTGGTTCTCTGAGCGAGATCTTGGAGAGATGGACAGCTCTGGGTCTTGCCAACCAAGCATGGATTAAACCCCCGTGGAGAAGAGATGCCCCCCCTTCTCCCCAGTTTCACCCTCTCCTCCAAAAAAGGATGGGTCTAAGGATTGGGCAGAAGCTCCTGCGCCGCTCCAAAAGCAACTAAAAGAAGAGAAAAGGAGGAGGGGATTCTGGCCAAAGTCCAATAACTAGGGTTCATTCTCCCCTGGAGTCTTCAGCCCAAATGGGGATGACAATCCTTTCTGCCCATCCTGTTGTTCCGACTCCCCCACTCCTACACCCCGCACGCTTTATTTTCTAGCAGTGTTAAAATACACGCACACGGGGGAGGTGGCGCGTGAGTGGGGGGTCTTGGAACGAAGCAGCTAAGTCGCCGGAGCGAGTCCTGGCGGCGGGATTGGGAGACGATTCAGCACCAAGAGGAAGGACAGCTCCGCGGGGATGGAGGGAGAGCCGGCGCCAGGCAGCGAAGGGGGCGGAGGCGAGGGAGGGAGCGAGGGAGGGAGGGGAGGGAGGGGAAGGGCTGGGTTGGGTTGGGTTGGGTTGGATGTCAGCTGGGTTGGATTGCATTGCGCGGTGCTGAGTGCCCTCCCGAGTGAAAATCCGTCCCTGACCCTCTTGTCCCCACCATACCCAGCCAGTAGCTTCCTATGGGATGCAGCTGCCTGGCTCTGCTCCACCCGCCTGCCCACCCTCACCCCCCGGGCAGAAGAGCCTGCCGCCCCCCACCCCATCCCCGTGCAGCTGACTTGGGTGTCTGTGTCTGGCAGATGCGCACCACAGAAGAAGGAGATGCAGAAGCCAGACAGGCGGAAGGTCGGGGGGTGGGGGTGGGGAGCAAGAGGTTGGGACCAGATTGAGAGTAGAGATTGGATCCCAATTCAGACCCTGGACAAATGCCAAGGGATGTCAAGATAGAATCAATCAGGCCTGATGATGAAACCTCTGCCAGTAGCATGGGTACATCCTGAATTGTTCAGTCAAGAATTTTTTTGGGGGGAGGGGATGTTTCTAGAGAACAAAAACAGGAGGGGGGAAAAGGATCAGATAGGAACAGAAGGCATTTGTCAGAGAAAATGCCAGGAGGAGGAGGAGGAGGTAGGTGGAGAAAGGATGGCACGGAACAGAAAGAAAGAGTTGGACTAGCAAAGCAGGATGAGAAATGAGAAAGAGAGAGAGAGAGAGAGAGAGAGAGAGAGATCCTTCAAGAACACTTGCTATCACCATCACTATTTGTGAGTGCATTGATCCCTCTGTCAACAACGCAGAATAACTTGGGCCATGGCTATCAAACATCAAAACATCTGCCAAGCTATCCCACCTCACTTACATGGACGATCTGAAGCTGTATGGCAAAACATCATCTGAAATAGAATCACTGCTCAACAATGTCCACACATACATCCAAGACATTGCGATGGAGTTTTGACTGGACAGATGTGTCACGGTCACCATCAAACATGGGGAAAAAAATAGAGAAAACTGAAAGAATCAAGATGCCCCATGGAAATGACCTCAAGCATCTGGATGAAGCCGATCCTTACAAATACCTGGGCATCCTTCAAGCTGACAACATCAAGCACACTGAGGCTAAGAAGAAGGTTAGTAGTGACTACATCCTAAGAGCGGAGAAGATCTTAACGTTCAAACTCAATGGAGGAAATACCATTAAAACAATTAACACCTGGCCAATTCCAGTCATTAGATGCCCAGCTGGAATAGTGGACTGTACTCAAGCAGAACCAAATGTCCCTGATAGGAAGACCAGAAAAATAATGACAATGACTCATGCTCTTCAGCCACACAATCATGTTGACAGACTCTACTTGCCAAGGAAAATGGGTAGGTATGGCATGTAGCATCAGACGGTTAAAGAACAGGGGTGGGAGCGGGGAAGGGCATTGGGAGAATGGTGAAGGACAGTGAAGAAGACACACTGGTTTTTCAACTGTACTTCATCCATTTGACCTTAGTCACCAAACCGATCAACAGAATTGATTGATCTTTGGTTGTTATAAAGAAGCATTGGGCAAGCAAGACCACAGTTATTAAACGATGACCTTGTGCTTTGATTCGCACAATAAATTTTGTTAAGTCTGTAAGCCCTGCAGCAATTTTCCCATGGTTTACAGGAGTGGGGAGAAAGAGGGCCCTTCATGTGCTAAGAGAGAAATCTCCTCCTGTGCTTTATTTAACTTGAGTCCAGGTTCCCAGGCGTAGACATTTTCCCATTGCCCTTTCCATCTGTCTAAGATAATCTGCCTTCCTTAGCAAATTGCATAGTTATAGGTCAACCCTTATTCTATTTTGTTTTAAATAAAAAAAATATATCTGGAACATTATATCCTTTTCTGCTTTATGACAAAGGAAATGCATAATTTTTTTTTCCCAGTGAGCAATCAGCTGTGCACGGTACAATTGTTGCTTTCAGATTCTTCAGCTTCTCATAAGCTCAGAAAAATCAACCTAATTATTTTAGACCACAGAAACCTTTAGCATCTCCCTGATTTGCATTCTAAGTCCTGGAGTAAAAGAGGGAGAGCCAGAAAAGAAAAATTGCTTTTTGAAAAGAAAAACAAAGGGGCGAGGCAGAGGCAAAAACCGTACGGCCCAGGAAGGTGGTTTGTCTTGCAATTGATTTGTTCTCGTGTGCCAAGACGCTCAAGTCAATATGACTCTTTTGATTTACAAGCTTTCCTAATGCAAGGGAGGTGTGGAGTTGCCCGCCCTTAATAGCCTTATTTATATTGGCTCTCATCCTATTTTTTTCCTCTCTCGTTAGGAGCAATCATCTGGGTCTTTGGATGGAATGGATTGCGATCTGGCCAGTTCCCCGAGGGGCTTGCATCGAAAACAAGGGAGACCAGCGACCTGTTTCGTCCATGTGGACCAGCTCCCGAGCAGAAGAGGATCCAGATGGGGGAAGCTCAATTTCCATAGATGATGGGAGAGAATCTAATTATGGCACTGAGGCTGAGATTTAAAGAAGCAAGGGGTTCCTGTGTTGGGCTGCTCTATTTGTAGACTCAATTATTGGGGTGAGATGCTCGTATTTTTAAAAATCTCTCCTTTAAAAAGAATGAGGCAAAGCAACAGACTAATTAGTCATGACAGAGATAGTTGCTGAGAAAGGCAAACAGTGGGGGAGAATTTTCTTTTATCATTATTATTTTTAAAGTGTGTAGGCTGCACTTTCGTTTAAACTCACACGCACGCACATACATGCACACACACACACACACAGAGGGGAATTTCAGAACGTATGCACCGCATGTACATTCGATTCAATAAAAATTCACTGTAATAAAATTAGGGGTATAAACACCCAAGCAACTCCTAAAGGTTTTTATTTTACTTTTTTTAATGTTGAGGTGAAGTGAAGACTTTTAATCTGGCCAGTGGCCACCAAAAGAGACCATTCTGGTTAAGGAGGACTTTTAAAGTTGGGATGCCGGGGCCAAGCCTCTCCTTTCCCATCCTGCTTTTCTAAAAGATGGAAGTACTAGCTTTTCCATGCTTGCTGTCCTCCAGATGTTCGGGATGAGCATTCCTGGCCCACCATCAGCCCCATCTCTAGGCAGACTGAAGCCAAGAGTTCTGGGTGAGCAGATGAATTTAATGCTGTTCACTGGGGAATTCGTGCACTTACAATTTGCAGCCTTCTCAAAGCTTCTGATTGCCCACTGACCTAGTTCTAGTTGCAGCTGTATTGATGGAAATGTCATGCCCAAAAGGGAGCGGTTGGTACAGTCCAAAGATTTCAGTTCCTCCATCTAAAGATCGATCAAAGCGGCACCACCAAGGTCCTCGGATTTTGCACTGGAGAACCAGGAATGGGGACAAGACCAAGTAGAACGACTCAAAATAGACGGCAACTTGAATATTTAGAGAGCAGGGTCTTCCCACAGAATGCATAAGCCCACATTTTCTCATCGGGGCTTTTGAACAAGCCTCGGGGGACTTCATTGGCAGATAATGCTAAGCCATAAACTGTGATTGATTAATTGTGTGCCTTCAAGTCATTGTTGGCTCTTATTAACCAGATAGATAGGTGATTTTTCTCTGTGACCTGGTCTTCTAAGGTCTTCCAAGCCAAGCCACTAGTTTCTGGGCTTTGTTTTCTTTTTCTGGCAGCCAACAGACCCTTTGCTGCCCATTGGGAGACTAAGATAGGAGCCTGGATAGCTCAGCAGACTAATGCATTGTAATTTAACTCCAGCTGTCTGCAATTAGTAAGTTTGAATCTCGCCAGGCTCAAGGTTGACTCAGCCTTCCATCCTTTCTAAGGCAGGCAAATTGAGGACCCAGTTTGTGGGGGCAATAAGCTGACTTTGTAAAAATATACAAAAGGATGAAGGCTATTGCTTAACGCATTGTAAGCCGCCCTGAGTCTCCGGAGAAGGGCGGCATATAAATCAAATTAAAAAAAAAAAAGATAGATCTATTTCGGCCTTATAAGGCCTCATCAGTTAGCCACACCCTCATCTCATGTATCCTCCCTGTAAAGGTACAATATTTGTTTTTCTTTCTTTTTCGTAGGTTTTATGTGTATGTCTCTTTAGCCAGGTTCTACCTACATAAACTAAGATATTATACAGCCCTAGTTCAGTGAAATCACAATTCACTAGTTTCTGAGCTTTTTTTTTCTTTTTCTGGTAGCCAGCAGAGGGTATATATGGATACAATATGTACTACCATCTTTATTATTACTATTATTAAGATGTTGACACTATACTAACTCCCAAAGACTTTCTGGAAGATCTTCATCTTGACCGACTTCCAGAACTTTTTACTAGACATGGTTGATGGGTCAATCTTTAATTCAAGGTGTGTATCTGTGAATACACCCTATTCTAGAGGACTAAAACTGCAACAGGAAAGTAGGACTTCCATGTGCAACTTCACACCTACAAAATAAACCCGAAACTAACTTTAACTTCAGTTGGAAACCATTTATTTAAAGTTAGTCCTTGACCTATGACCGCAATTGAGCCCAAAATATCTGTTGCTAAGTGAGACATTTGTTAAGTGAATTTTGTCTCATTTTACGACCTTGCTTGCCACAGTTCTTAAGTGAATCATTGCAGTTCTTATATTAGGAACACAATTGTTAAGTGAATTTGGATTCCTCACTGACTTTGCTTTTCAGAAGGACACAAATGGGGATTGCAGGACCCACTGGGGACACTCAAGCGTCGTAAATATGAGCCAGTTGCCAAACATCCAAACTCTGATCACATGACTGTGGGGATGTTGCAATGGTGAAAATTCACTTTTTTTCAGTGCCACTGTAACTTGGAATGGCCATTAACTGAACTGTTATAAGTCGAGAACTGCCTGTGCTATAATTTGAAACATAAACTACAGCCATATTCAAAATTTGAATTTCCTTTAAGGTTTTAAAGCATTAGATTTCCTCCAAATTAATTAGAGATCCTTTTTAATCCTTGATATAATCTTATTAATTTGATTGAAAGCTTACCGTCTTGACCATTGCTAACATGATTTTAATATTGGTTCTTAAATGTGCTAAACCGATACATGATTCTCTTTAAGTCCAATTCCAAGGGACAAGAATAATAAGAATAATAATACCTTTTTGTTTTTGTTTTCAGTTCACATCTTGTAAAGTCTCATGCAATTTTTATAGTTTGCAAATTCTTAATACATGCTTTTCTTTTTTTATTATTTTATTTTTGTTCTGTCTTACCGAATATTTTTTTTTCCTAAAAATAAATACAAATAGTACAAAAAAAAAAGAAAAGAAAGAAAAGCAGTACTTTCTGGAATTTGCATTTGCATCAAAATTTGTAACACTTTACTGGGCTTTCATAACATTGTAGGAGGAAAGGCACCTTAATTTTTTTGCAACAAAAGAAAAATCAGGAGTCTGGTGGCAGCTTTTTCAGACTAACAAAAATTTATCAAAAAATCTAAACCTAATGAAACGGTTTGGTTGAAGAGGCGCCAACAGACACCTCTTGATTTTTTTGAGGGGGGGGGGGCAGAGGTGGATTTCAGCAGGTTCTGACCAGTTCTGGAGAACCGGTAGCGGAAATTTGGAGTAGTTTGGAGAACCGGTAGTAAAAATTCTGACTGGCCCTGCCCCCATCTATTCTCTACCTCCCAAGTCCCAAGTCCCTACTGTATCCTTCCCCTGGAGTAGGGAGGGAATGGAGATTTTACAGTACCCTTCTCCTGGAGTGGGGTGAGAAGGGAGATTTTACAGTAACCTTCCCCTGGTGTGGGGAGGGAATGGAGATTTTACAGTACCCTTCTCCTGGAGTGGGGTGAGAAGGGAGATTTTACAGTATTCTTCTCCTGGAGTGGGGAGGGAATGGAGATTTTACGGTACCCTTCTCCTGGAGTGGGGAGGGAATGGAAATTTTACAATATCCTTCCCCTGCCACACCCACCAAGCCATGCCACGCCCACCAAACCACATCCACAGAACCGTTAGTAAAAATTTTGAAACCCACCACTGGAGGGGAGGTATTAAGAATCCCCTTCCTCACAGACACAGGCATTTCTGCTAACATCACTAGAATAAAACATACACATTCAATTCTCCGGCTACAAACAATTGAGGGTTTTTGGGGGAATCGATAATGTTAACTTACCTGCTGCAGCCTGAAGGTACGTCTAATGATGAATTAAGTTGACATTATTCTACGTACAGACTTTAAAAAAAAAAAAAACCTCCACCTTAAATCCATAACTCCTTGCTTTAGAACAATTTATTATTCCTTGTGAATAATTCTCCTGTACCAAAGCAGGTGCTTTGCGTATCCCCGGTCAATTAACTGGACTAATTTAACAGAAATGGTGGCTGCCTTTGAGGTCTTCTCTTTAGGGCCACCTCAAGGGCAAGTGGAAAGTGATAAATGTCAGTTGCCAAGCGGGCATTTCTCTCCCCCTTTTTGGATGGTGGGTCCCATCTTTTTCTTTTATGGGTCGCCAGGCTGCACACGGCCATATATCTAACATGGGAATTAATTTCCTTCTTGTGATAAAGCCCGTCTGGATGTTAACAAGGGCAGCAGATACCAGCAGCCCCATCTCTGCTGGGTTTCCTATCGAGCAAGATGGATGTTCTCCTCGCCTTGTGCAAGTCTTCCCAGGACAGATAACGTCCGAGTCTTCAGGAGAAATGAGATGGCCCAGTACACAAAACCCAGCAATCGCTTTTGGAGAACGGAAAGCTGAAGAGCTGCTTTGCTGAACAATGGGAAAAGGCTCTTCTCTTGTGAAAAACCAGACTTCCTGGACCCTTCGGTGGCTACAAATCGCAAGAAGAAACAAGGTCTATGTCAGAGTTCCAAATTATGATCTCCTTCAGCGCTGACATGAATGAATGAAAGAGGGAGAAGCTTTGCTTTAATGCTGAGATGAACTTTTACCTAGTTCCCTGCTCTTCAGTAGATAGCATTACCTGGGTGACAGAGGGAGGGGGGAAATTCCTGTGAAAAGAAAGTGCTTGGGATGAAGAGATGGATCTTCACGATGGCCAATGAGACATTGGGGTTGAAGAACGGAAAGGGAGGGGTTTGGAAGGAGGTGCCAGTCTTGGCTACACCCAGAGTTCAGGGATGTCGTTCTCCTATTCTTAAATAAAAAAAAAGATTCATCAGAGACCTTGCATTTGAGAATGAAGTTTATTTAAGATAGCAACGAAACCTGACAGTCTAAGAAAGTTGCAAAGCTCAGCTAGGTGAGGAGGTTCTAAGGGATGGGACAAAGCAACGTTCACCTGAGCCCAGTGGTGGGATTCAGCCAGTTCGCGTGAACTGGTAGTTAAATTGCTGGGTGGCCCCTCCCCTTGCCTCTTCCAGGAGTTCCCACGTGCCCCATTTTGGCTCCCAGGTACGTAAGTGCAGGGAGGTCTACTAGGCCCAAAACGGGGCATGGAGAGCGGCGCATATTCCCCCCCCCGGCCCATTTTTACTCCCAGGGGGGTGCAGGAAGTTCCCTGGCCACACCTACCATGGCCACGCCCACCCAGCCAGTCATTA